TTATTCATTCTGTGTCCTTTGGCATGAACGGAAGTTCAGCGATACTTTTGAGTGAGTACGTGAGCGAATGAATGAACGGCTCCCTCGAGGCCAGGAGGGGGCAGAAGCCATTGAGCGAAGCTGGAGGGGCTGTGAGTAAGTAGGAAGAAACCAGAGTGTAGCCTGAGCCGTCCCCCTTCAGGCCTCTTCTGCTCATTCATAGTTGCTGGTGGTCTGGGCCTCTGCTCAGCCCAGGTGGGGCTCTGAGTGCAGAAGCAGAGGACAGGGAGGCCTGACGACCAGGACATGTGGAGGCAGCAACAGTGGAGGAAGAAAGCTTTCAGGACTCCCCTGGGCCCCAAATGTCCTGTCTCCTTGACTCTCAGGCCAAAAGTGCAGCCACCGTGCCCCCTCCGTGGCCCGAGCACGCTCTCATCTTTCCAGCCCCGGGGCTGGGTGCTTTTCTGCACTGTGGCCGGGTGGGCTGGCTGTGGGCTCTGCAGATTGAGCCTGGGATCTCTGGGAAGCTCATGTAAGTAAGCCTGTGAGCCTCAGTTTTCTTAACTGTAGAAGATAATAATAATAATAACAATAATGGCTCTCTTTCTGAGATTTTGTGGGAATTAGAGAAAAGATGGTGTACACAGTGGACCTCAACCAGTTAAGTCCTAGGAACTGCTAGTGAAGGTCCGGAGTCTCGGTCCCCATTCCAATGTCTACCGGCTCTGCCGGCTTAGGCAGTCCTTTGCCCCTCTCAGCCTTGGTTTCTTAATCTGTAAAATGGGTAGAAGCAACTCGAACATTTGCAAGTGAGGATAGGAGGAGGCCCTGAGGAGAAGTGTGGGTGAGTCGTTAGTCCCATTACTGTGCCCAGGCCCCTGGGGGAGAGAGATGCCTTCCCCAGTGTAGCGTTCCCAGAACCACCAGACTCGCAGAGACCAAGGTCTCGGGCAAGGTCACAGCGGGACCATCCCGGCTGCTGGACCTCCCTGCCCTGCACTCCAAGTGGCTATTGGGAGGCCAACAGCTGTCTCCGCCGAGTGGCAACTCTGGGGCACAAAGAGCAGTGGAGAGGGCAGGGCACACTGGCTCATTGTCCTTGGGGCTGAGCAGCCGCAGCTGGGGGCCACTGGGGGTTCCTCTGACCTCCACCCCATCCTGACACCATGGCTGTCCTGCCACCCAGCCCGTCCCTATGGGACTTAGAGCTTCCCCTCCAGCAGCACCTGAGCAGCATGGGGCCCCCTGTCTCCCCCAGTGCTTTTATCAGGGGCCCTTAGGAACGATAAGCTTGAGGAGGGTGACCTTGGACCTGGGGGTAGGATGCTGGTCCTCGTTCCTTATGGCACCGACCTTCTGGGAGGATGACTCTGACACAGCTGCCCCCTGGTATCAGGCACCCACATGCGCTTCTCGTGGCCGGCACCCCCGGTGAGGTCACGCTGGGGGTCCCGTTTCACTGGTGCGGAATCTGGGGCTCAGAGGGGTGGTTAAGTGACTGGCCCAGGATCACAGGCTCGGGGCCAGCAAAGCCCGGATTTGAACCCTGGCCTGCCCAATGCCACAGTGTATACCCTGTGCACGGACTCAGGGTGCCTGAGTTGGGTGTGGGGCAGATGTACAGACACCAGGGAGGAGGACCTGGCTGCACTCAGCCCAGAAAAGCATGGGCTGCCACTGGCCAAAGGCCAGGGGGACAGGCACGAGGACCTCCCCCGGTTCCCAGCAGCCAGAGAATTCTAAAACTCCCCGCACTCCCGCTTTTCAGAGCAGTGCATTTATAGAGGAAAAGGGGCAGGGTGATGATGATTCAGGAAATCTGCGGCCAGAGTTAAATGAGCGTCTCATAATGATGGTGATTACAAATTAACACCACTGTTTGCAGAGCGATGCACGTCCACTCCGCAGCCATGAATTAATGAAACGACGAAAACGCGGGTGCTGGGGATACGCTCCAGGGCACAGAGGAGTAGGAGGTTCGAGAGGGGACCCCCCAGAGCTGGGGCACCCGGCTCCCCACTCCGGCCCCTTTTCCAGGGTATCACCAGGGATTCTCTGGTCTGGGGCTTGATTTTTATCTTTGCACAGTGGGGGTGCTGGTCCACTTGGGGAGCCTTGAGGGGGTTGCATACATGGGGGGCAGCCCCCTGCTCTGACTGACGAGAAGAGGAGGAAAGGACTTATGAGGTGGGAGACCCAGACCACCCGCAGTTGACACCAATTAGCTGTGGGACCTTGGCGGTCACCCACTTCCCTGTGTGTTTATTTGCTCTTCTGTAAAAGGAGTGAGGTCCTCTGCAGCTGAATGTCCAAGCTGGAGATGTATAAGTTTGCTGGGGCCACCACAGCAAATTACCACAGAGGTGGTGGCTTGAGACAACAGACACGTACTCCCTCCCATTGCCACAGGTCCGAGACAGTGGTGTGGGCAGGGCAGGCTCCTTTGGGAGCCTCTGAGGGAGAACTGTCCCCCGCCTCTGTCTGGGCCTCTGGGAGTGGCTGGCCAACCTCAGTGCCCCATGGCAGCTGCCAAAATCCCGCCTCCTCCTCTGTCTTCATACAGCTCCTTCTCCACCTCTCTGCCATCCCTGCATGTCCCAAACCCCCTCTCTTCTCTTGGGAGCACCCTAATTGCAGGCTGATCTCCTTGAGATCCTTCACTTAATTACCTCTGCAAAGATCCAATTTCCAAATTAGGTCACATTCACAGGTACCAGGGGTTAGGACTTGGTCTACCTTTTGGGGGGAGACAATTCAACCCGCCCCAGAAAGCATTTGGGGCAAGTAAAAGCCATGAATGCCAGGTGTTGCCACTCTTACACCGAATCAGCGATTGTGCACCGGGAGTGGGGAACTCATCTTCCCAACAGCCCCGGCACACCCTGTGTTCGGCCAGGCGCACGGAGGTGCCACAGGGAGTCCAGGTGGTGGGCGGGACCTTGACCCGAAGAGGAGGGGACACTGGTGGTGGATGGAGGGAGGAGTCTGCACTGGGGTCTCCCCTACCGCTCGGCTCTTGCCAATGAACCCTTTCCAGCCACCGGAGTGCAGGGAAGCATCCCTGGAGATAACTCTGGGGGTCTAATTATTATTTTTATCATCCCTTACATAGCTGCCTGCTTTGTCTTTCCTCCTCCATCTCTTCTCCGGGGTGCTGTGTGTGGCTCTCCTAGTCCTTCAGGGGGCACTCCGCTGGCTTCATGAGAGAAAACCAAGCCCTAAGAGATACTGGGGTTTCAAGTCCCTGCCTCTCCAACCTTGTCACCCACACCCCTCTGCTAGAAGGTCTAACCTCGACCTTTGACCACCTTGACCTTGACCTTGACCACCACCCACCCCCTGCCACGTCACCTCATGCCCTGTGCATTCCTATGGCTGGCCTCCCTTCTGGAACACTCCTCTGCCGCCCCTCGCTGCCCCTGCTTATCGCCCCCCCCCCACCTTTACCATTTCTCACCCTGTTAGGCCCTCTCATCCCCTTGGACCATCGCATACTCCCCCCTTGACTGGGCTGTCCCTGAGGGCAGGAAGACAGTCCTTCGTTTTGGGGGCCCCAGTCCCTAGTACACAGATGCTCTCTGGATGTTTATGGAAGGAAATCATCAAGAGACCCAGATTTGAATTCCCTCGTCCCCACCTTCCTAACTGTGTGCCCTTGGCCTCTCCGAGGCTTGATGTCCTCATTTGCCTCCCTGGCCTGCCGGGTTAGCATGTTGACAGACGAATGTGTTTCTGGGACTCCTAATAGATGCACAGGAATAGGGCGTCTACCCCAGGGGCGCTGGTGCCCCAGCCTCCCACTGCCCCCAGCTCAGCATCCCCCACCCCCACCCCCGCCCCGCCTCCCTGGGATTGAAGCTGGAGGGAGGCCCAGGCTTCTGGAAACTCTTGGATTCCCTCCCCACCCCGCCTTGGCTCCAGGTGTCTCTCTCTCTTCAGCTATTTTCTTTTGGGATCCAGAGTTCAAAAGAACAGCGCGAGCAGGAGCCCTGGGAAAACAAAAGCCAGCAGGCTCCTTCTTGCAGGCCAGCTCAGGCCTGCAGGGCGCTGCCCACCTCTCCCCGCTCCGTCCGGGAAGGAGGGCGTCGGGTCCCGTGGGTTCCAGTGCGAGACTCGGAAAACATCAACTCCAGTGGGAGGGAAGGCCAGTGCGGGGGGGAGGGGGCAGCCTGCCCTAGTTAGAGCCCTAACTGCTATTTGAAAGCACTTTCAAATGTCCCAGGCCCTGGGGGCAGGGGTGGCGTAATAATAATAAAACAACATTTGCATAGAGATTTCGTTTACAAAGCAGTTTCTCAGGGGTGGGAGGCGCTCGGGTGGCCTGTGGAATCCTGGCGGGGAGGCCTCGGCCTCTGGTTGCTTCCAACCCCAGCCGAGCTCCCGGCTCGGGGATGTGTGCTTGTGTGCGCGGAAACAAAGCGCTATTCAGCAGACTGTTCCTGATTCCTCTGGATTTCGTCCCTTTCCCCCTCTCCCATGAAGAGCTCACTCAGGGCTTGTCACTCAGGCCAGAAAAGGGGTGTCAGGAGTCCCAGAGGGAGGGGTTGGCTGGGACCTGATTGGAGGGAAGCACCCCTGCCCCGCCCCCCTTACCCTTTGGCCCCCAAGCTCCTGGGAATGGGAGCTGGTTTATGCAACTCTTCTGACCTGTGGCTTTGTCTTCATGTTGAAAGAATGAGCACAGGTTTGGGAATGTCTGCGCTTCTGTTGTGTGTATGTCTGAGGACACGCAGAATGATGAGCAGCGTGGGGGGCTTTGCTAATTCTTCCCCAGCAGCGTGCCTTGTGAGCGTGATGTCCCGTACTCCGTGCGGGGGCGTGGGGCCCTGGGGCATCTGCACCTGCATCCGGTGGGTGTGGTGAGACATCTGTGCCTGGAGAGTAGCCCCGACGTCACCTGGCCACTGGCACCCAGGGATGAGGGGCGCGGCATCAGAGCCTGGCCCCTTAAGGGATGAGCTATATAAGGTCCACCTGCAGGTGCTTGAGCAGGTTTTAGCAGCCCGGGCAGGAGACGGAAGATGCAAGAGGTCATTGCTGGGCTGCAGCTGCTCACCTTCACCTTCGAGAAGGACGTAAAGATGCAGAAGGGCACTGGCCTCCTGCCTTTCCAGGGCATGGACAGTGAGTGTGGACAGGGAGGAACTTGTGCCAGGACCCCTCTCCCCAGCCTTCTCTGGAGGCTTCTCTGCTCAGCTCCTGAGGGGGCAGCCCCTTCACTGCTGCTCACCAGGGAGACTGAGGCGGGGGGGGGGGGTTTGGGGCCGGCTGCGATTCCCAGCTTAGTCCCTCCCTTCTTAGGGGGCTCAGGCTTCCCCTCATACATCCTCTCCAGGACTCCAGGAAAATGGGGCTGACTTCCAGGCAGCCCACTTCCCAGACTGGGCAATCAGACACAGAAGGTGAATTGTGAGAAGCCAGGAAGTACCACATTGGCCCCCTGAACTCCCTTGTGCCCCTCCATCCCCTCTGTTTCAGAGTTGGGGGGCTTAGGTGTTGAGGTCTCGGGGCTGGTTCTGGAGGCCAGCATCCAAAAAGCCAGGAACTTGGGGGCCCCCAGGCCCAAGCCTCAGGGAAGTTCGGGGTGGGGGGGCACTTCTTGAGTAGGAAAAGCCCCTCCAGCAGCTGCAGCCTCTGAAGAAGCTACCTTCTTTCTTCCCCTTCTAGAGTTGGGCTCGGCTGTGTGCAACTTCTTCGCTAAAGGGCTCTGTGGCAAAGGTGGGTCAGCAGAAGAACCTGGCGGTGGGGGTGTGTGTGTGCAGGGGCAGTCTAGACTACGGTGGGTTCTGCTTGGCCTGGACTAGGGTGTCGAATCTGCATTTGGTGAGGGGAGGTTGGAATGGAGTCGAATTTGTCTTGTAAGGAGGCAAGGGGCAGGTGGGTGGGCACATCCCTCAGGAAGCCTTCCCCTCCCCACTAAGGATTTCCCTGGCCCAGCAGCATTGATTAGGGTACCCAGGGCTACCTGGAAGGGGACATTCCCTTCTTTCCACCTTGCTGGGGGTGTGAGTGTTTTGGGGGTTTCAGCCTGTGTGTTCCCAGGAGGCCCCGGGCTTCTTGAGTTTCCTCCCAGCCAGGAAAGCAGTGCCCTTCTCCCCGCCCCCCTCCCCTTCTCATCCTCTGGATCAATATGGGACCTAGTCAGCTGTTCTATGTAGTCTTTATGTCCTAAGCTGTGGCCATTTCCATCTCTGAAATGCTACCAGTAAGTGTCCCCTGTTTCTCCCCCACCCAACTTGGATCAAGTGATACCTCCTTCTAAGCCCCTCTTCCCCCAGTACAGGAGGCCTGACTCCAACCAGGGTTTTTCCCAACCTCTGGCTCATGAACTACTCACGGCCCCTTCCTGTAGAAATACACAGTTGCCCAAAAAGTCTTGCCTTCAATCTGGCGGTTCCCAGACCCCTATAGATCCAGGTTAAATAACCCTGCTAGTGTGAATGAATTTAGGACCAGTTTTTCGGATCTAAGTGATCCTGTTCTTGGGAAGCCAGGAGGCCAGGAGGGGCCCAGGCAGGGAGGGGCTGGGGTGTTATTGCCATGTACCTCGCACCTCATTTGTCGTGTTGGCTCTCGATGACGGGGTGAGAGGGAAACCAGCTCATTGCTCACTCGAGGCCCTATGCAGCCAGAACTGAGAAGCCGCCTTGGGTCCTCCCTCCAAAGCAGTGGTTCACGGTGACACCCTCTTGCAAAGAAATACCACTGCTCTGGTGGGAGGTCACACCCGAGCAAGTCACAGGCCCAGGTGATGGGAGGGCTATGTACAAAGAAGCCCTTCACACTTTCCCTCCCCTTCTATCTGAGAGTCAGCCAAACCTGAGGCTGGTCCTGCTCAGGAACTTAGGAACTGGGGCATCCTTCCTGCAGATGCCAATACCCCAGTAAGAAGATAACAGGGGCGCCTGGGTGGCTCAGTCGTTAAGCGTCTGCCTTCGGCTCAGGTCATGATCCCAGGGTCCTGAGATTGAGTCCTGCATCGGGCTCCCTGCTCCGCAGGAAGCCTGCTTCTCCCTCTCCCACACCCCCTGCTTGTGTTCCCTCTCTCGCTGTCTCTCTCTCTCTGTCAAATAAATAAATAAATTTTTTAAAAAAAAAAAATAACAGAGTTACACAGAACATTTCCACTTCCTTCTAAGTTGTTACAGAGCTGGCTCTTAGGTCAGCCCCTTAGGTCTCCAGACTCAGGAAATGTAACCTTTGTGGGAGTTTTTGTTTTGTTTCTTAAGATTTTATTTATTTATTTGACACAGAGAGAGGGAGCATGAACAGGGGGAGAATCAGAGGGAGAGGCAGGCTCCTCGCTGAGCAGGGAGCCCCGTGTGGGGCTCCATCCCAGGACCCTGGGATCATGACCTGAGCTGAAAGCAGATGCCCAACTGACTGAGCCACCCAGGCGCCCCCTGTGGGAGTTTTTTAAGACATGATCTTAACAGGCCTTTCGGGAGCACTGGGTGCTCCGGACCGTGCTGGGTGGGAGCCCCGGGCTGGAACTGCGGCTCTGCTCTCCGGTAGGGGCCCCACCATGAGCCTGGAGGAAAGGGGGCCGTGAGGCACCGGGGAGCTGCCCTGACCCCCCTGGGGCTCCCCGGGGGTGGAGAAGGGCGACGGCAAGCCCGGCAGAGAGGAGAGTTTGGGCAGGGACGTGGTCATGCCAACAGCCACCTGTCAGGACTACCGAGCATCCTTCGTGTTGCCTCTGGCCCGCTTCCAGCTCCACCAGGGGTCAGGTGATGGGGTCGAGGGAGGGCACCGGGGCTCTGATCCACAGCCTCTCCTGGGGCGTTCCTTCAGAGCTGAGCTGGGGCCAGGCTGTGGGCAGCTGGGTGCTCTGGTGTTCCCAGGGAAGCTCTGCCCGATCCGGCACAACCAGGGGGAGAAGCTGTTGGTGTGTAAGCACTGGCTCTGGGGCCTGTGTAAGAAGGGCGACCAGTGCAGTTTCTTGCACCAGTACGCCGTCACCAGGATGCCCGAGTGCTACTTCTACTCCAAGTTCGGTAATGCCCCTTCCTGGCTCCAGGCCTTGCCCCGGAGGTTGGCACTGGGGACTGTGAGATGGGCCGAAGTCTTGAGAGGGGGGTGCACTCAAAGGAGGCTGTGCATGCCTTGGGGGGCAGACCAGGCCTCTCTGAGCCTTGGATGCCCGCTTCTCCAGTCCTCTAGATGCAGGGGAGCTGTACTCTGGGGTCCATCCCTGTTTCACTGCCCCGTAGGTCCCCCCCCCGCCCCGCCCCCCAGGGAAGGGAAGGGTGTGGCTGGAATCAAAGGCTGAATTGTTTCCCTCGTCACAGACCCGGACTGACTGTCCAGAAACAAGCCTGGAACGGGCCATCTCTCAGTCCCAGGGTGGGTCAGGGCCAGGGGGCTCCAAACGGGCATTTGGAAGTCACTTTCACGATGCTTGCCCAACACACAGAGCACCCGTGCTACTGACCTGTATCATTGTCTGCTCTCTCCATTGTCTTGCTATTATTAAGTCTTATTTTAGAAGGAAACTACATTGCTTCCGTAAGTGGAAAGCTAGCATCTCTGATGGGCAGTGCAAGGGAACTGTAAACATAGAGTCATGAGGTTCAGAGGCCCTGGCCTCTCAAATTATCTTGTGTGGTCAGGTCTGGACCAGTGTTCTCCTGGCCTCAGGACCTCCTTTTGTCATCCACAGGGCTGCAGAGGGGGAAGACACAGCCACTAGTCACCTCCTTTAAGAATGATCTGCGAGTGTGTTTCAGATCTCATAAAATATCTTCCCAACAAAATTCTATAGCTCAGTTCTTTCAGGAGCTGGAAGGAGCCCTAGGGATTATCTGGTTTAGTGCTTTTCAAACTGTGTTCCAAAAGAGTGACCTGGGGGGAGAGAGCTGGCCCAGTCTCCAGGGACCTCTCTGACTGCAACAGCTCCAGGGGTAGCTGTCCCTCATTAGTGCCAATGGCGGGGGGCGGTGGGGGGCAGTCCCGGGTATGTGGGGAGAAAGCAAAGCATCCTCAAAGAGCTCCTCCCAGGTCAAAGTTTCTGTCCTGCCTCCTCAGAGTTGAGGTTCAGCTGCCCGCTTGTGTTTTTTTGAAAGGAAAGACAAAGTTTATCTGGATCCCGGCTCCCCTTGGTCACCACCTAAACCTCTTTCATTTAAAAATGCCTCTTATTCATTCCTTCAGTAAAACTTGGTTTGGTTTTCTTTTGGGACTCGGATACTGTGCTGGGGAATGTTACAGGGATAGGACCAGGTTCCCTTCTGCCCTCAAATACCTCTCACTGTGAGGGGTATCCATGTAAATCACTGATGGTAGTTTGTAACCTCTGTTTCTGCTCTTGGAGTAAATGAATATCTCTAATATCCTATCAAAGTAATTATCGTTCTTCTTGCAAGTAAGTTGTTTTATTTAGAACGTTATGTTGGGAGGTGTTGGAGCGCGAAGGGGCAGCTGAAGGGGGCCAGGGGCTTTGGGCCCTGAGGCTGGCTTGGAAAGGCTGAGTGGAGGGTGGGGTGCGGGTGCCACCTGCTGGCTATCAGAGGAACGCGGAGACGTGCATCCAGGCCGAGGCAGAAAGGGAGCTCAGCACAGGTGACTTCCCACCGCTTGACCTGTCGAATGCTCATCAGCCCTGGGGTATGTCACTCCATTCCTCAGGAGGCTGGAGCTGAGAGTCAGTGCTTGGCCAAGGGCTGCACACAGACACCGAGCACGTAAACCCCTCATCAATGAGAGGAAGCCTGGTGATCGTGGCCATGGCATTTCCCCTCTCTGAGCCCTGGTGTCCTCGTTCGTGAGATGGGAAGTTTGGAGAGAATAGTGGTTGAAAGCTCTTCGGCATCCATGCATTCTTCTCCAGGTGAAACCTGCTTTGCGGAAGCACAGTGTAGAAAATAGATCTCTGGAGCAGTTTGAAAGCCAATGGGGTGAACGCCGTGAAGTTCCTTTTGGTTCTGAGAAGCACCAAGTTGTGGATTTTTAAGGAGGATGAGGTTGGAAGCATTCACCGCTTCTCTACTCAAGAGGTGAAAAATGAGCCGAATCTTCCCCATGGCTCTTTCAAAGTTCCTGGGCCCCTAAGAGAAAACTAAGGGGGTTCTTACCACAACTCTCAGGTGGTCTGTCCAACAGGGCTGGCTCCTTCTAGGGGACCTGAGTCCTGGGCCAACCCACCGAGCGATTACAGCACAGGCATTGTGAAGCTACAGGTACCCCTCATGTCGAGTCTGGCATCATCCTGGTGCCAACTTGGGAGCACCACTCTGCTCTTCTTGGCATTTCCACCAAAAAGGACTGTGCCGTGGTTCTGGAAGCATTGTAGGTGTCATAGTGATGAAGATGAGAGGGCTTTCATCAGAACGCATCCGCGGTGTGTCTTCCTGGATCGTCAGCTGCTCGCTCTGGGTCTCCCCTCCCTGCCTCTCCTCTCATTCCTTCCTCTCCGGTGGCCTCCAGATGCCTTCAGTTCCGGACCCTCCTCCTGGATCTCTGGCCCAGCCTCAACTCTTGCAGATGTGCTTATTCCCACCCAAGTCCTGCTTGGCATGTAGTGTTGGGATCCAACCCCCTTAGATTGCAGGAAGGATTAGAAAAACCTTGCTGTCTTGGAAAAGCAGCTGATGACAGACAGCAGGCAAGTGGCTTCTATGCAAGGGGCAAGGTCAGTCCAGTTTGGGGAGGGCGGAAGTAACAATAAAGATGAGCCTACATTTAAAGAATGCTGGATTTTTCAGGTGACTGCAACAACAAGGAATGTGCCTTTCTCCACATGAAGCCAGCTTTCAAGACCCGAGACTGTCCTTGGTATGACCAAGGTTTCTGCAAGGATGGTGAGGGCCCAATGGAAAGGGAGCACTAGGTGATCAGGATGTGTATGGGGGCGTCCCTGGCAGGGGAAGGAGGCATATTCCTGATGAAGTCCTGGGGGCCTTCCCAACAGAAGCTCCTTCCATCTTTCTCCCCAGGTCCGCTCTGTGACATTGTTAACATTCAGCCAACAATGGAAGGACCTGGCACAGAGCTGGCTTCTTGCAGCAGGCTTACCTGGGTTCCAATCCTGGTGACTTCAAAATGCATCAGCTGTGTGACCTTGAACTAGCTGCTGAACTCATTTCCTCACTTATGAAAAGGGGAAACCCCTCCCTCGTACGGTTACGGAGCCTGTCAGATCTAGGACCCCACGGGAAGCCCTTGGCATAGGGGCTGGCCCACAGGAGAGAGTTCATCTACATTCTCTTCTCTATTTCTTTTAACCGCCCCCCCCAGGGGTGTGCTGTCACTGAAGCTTGCTCCGTCTACCCCATTAAGAAGCAGGTTCCCCCCATCACAGGCCCTGTGCTCTGAGGACTACGTTCTTTGTTTTCCTTTGTTTTCAGGCAAATTGCTCTGAGGTCTTGGCACTGTTGGTTTGGGGGATTTTAGGGGAAGATAAGTAGGCTGTGGGGTTAGCCTTTCCTCAGCTGTACCTTCTGGAGCTAAATAAAGATGGCACATGACTGTCCTCAACCACATCAATTCGCCAGATGCAGTGTGTTAGGGACGCTTCCAACCCCATTGTTTGGGATCCACCCCAACATATTCTGAGGTCTCCTTTCCCCTCTCAGTCATGCGGCTAGGAAGCAGGTGCTTTGGGTGGTCTGGAAGGGACAGGGAGATTTATGCACCCTGTGAGGTGGAGAGCCTGTGACTGCTGTACCCTTCCGCAGAGCTTTGTCATGTGTGTTTCTGGCTGTTCTTTGCCCAGCAGGTCCCCCGTGTAAGCACTGCCATGTCCGTAAGGCAATGTGTGTTAACTACTAGTGGGTTTCTGCCCCAAGGGCCCCCACTGCCAATTTGCACAGTAAGTATGACCCCTGGATCAGCAAATCCCACCTATTATGGGGTCCGTTCTGTGGCTTCTAGATCTAGATCCTTCCATACCTTCACTGGCCCAAGGTGGGAAATGAAGTGTTTGGTGAGCATCTGCCCAGTGTTTTCCTTGCTAGCTTACCCGGCACACCCACACCCCCTTCCCCGACTTGGTGCTGCACTGAATACCCCAGGCTGATAATGTGTATTCATGTTGGGCACAGACATATGGCTCTTCACAAACTGTTCTAGAAATCAGTAGAAACCCTTAACACCCACCCCAACCCTCTGCAGTTCTCCCTCATCCCCCTGGCTGGGGTATGGGCTCCTTCCCCACAGGGTTCAGAAACGGGAAATCTGCAGCAGGCTGACACGGAGCATGCTAATGAGCAGGTGACGGGGGGGGGGGGGGGGGGGGGGGGGGGG